TCAAATTTCTAACTTTAGCCAAATGGCTCCAAAATGACGTATGCACCTCCAAATCAACTTCCAATCGCGCTCCCAATACCAGAATCACCATACGAAGCTATTCCCAGACGCAGAATCCCAAACGAACATCGATAACATTGAAATGCACTTCAACCCGAACTTATGAAATTCTTTCAAAATGCTAACTTACATAATAGGCGCCGAAACGCTCTCGGGTCATCCAAAACCCGATCTGGACATGCGCCCTAGTCCAAAATCATCATACAAATCTGATGGACCCTTCAATTCCCGATTCCGAGGTTGTTTACTCAAAAAACCCAATCTTAGTCAATTCTTCCAACTTAACGCTTTCGAAATAAGCATTTCTTTCCAAATCAACTCCAAAAATTCCCGAAATTCAATTTCGATCATGCGTACAAGTCATAATACCTGAAGTGAAGCTGCTCATGGCCTCAAACCGCCGAAGAATGCGCTAGAGCTCAAAATGACCGATCGAGTCGTTACAGGCGGCTAGGGTTTGCTAATGGATTTGGGGAAGATGAGAAATAGGGGAAGGTTAATTGGTCTCTAGGGTTTTTTGGGGAGAGTTCGGACGGTTATAAGATCTGGGGAGGTTAGTTTAGGACCGTTAGATTATAGGGGATCAACGGTTGGGATCAAAAGGGGGAAAAACGAGGTCGTTTTGGGCGCGTAAAGGCTGGACCGGGTAGGAAAGCTGGATTGGACGAGATTTAGGGGCGAATTTGGGCCACTGAAATTGTTTTTGGCCCAAATATAAGCAAAACCCATCATACTCCTTAATTCTTTTTCCCCTTTTTAAATAAAAATCCTAATCAAATTAATTAAGAACCTAAATTAATTCCTAAACCAAATATATTTCTAAAAATTACTTAATTTAAACCTAATGAAAGGAAATTAATGATTTAAAATTAAAAGCTAAGAATAAAATGACCATGGTATTTTTTGAGATTTTCATTTAATAAAGCACCTAGTAAATGTAATTAAATCCTAAAAATGCAAATACACCTAAAATGCTATGCAATGAATATTCTAGACATTTTTGGTATTTTCTTATAATTTTAAAATATTAAATACGCAACTAAATGTAAACAATAATTAACAAGAAATTCTATAAAAATATAATTAAAACGAATCTATTTTTGTGAATTTTGTAGGAGTATTTTTCGGGCAAAAATCACGTGGTCACAGCTGCCCCTCTTTGCTCAGAAACATAAAGAGTTTTCGGGCAAAGATAAAGTGAGCAATTATGAGCGATTTTTGCCCGTTTGGATACTCCATGGGAAGTACTTTGCAAAGTTTGACCGGACCTTGCTTCGGAGGTTGCCTACATATCCTTGGCTATAAAGGAATCAGGTCAGTGTAGTTTTGGAAATTTTGGTAGCTGGGACTATCGAGAAACTGTGATTTCACTGCTGTTGCTGTTGTTACTGCTTGCTGACCCCCTTATTACACCAAAAATAAAAAATGCAAAGAAACTAAACAGGCCTATCAGCCATGAGTTACAAGATTCCTATCTATAAGTCTTCTGAAACTTGATCTTGAGTCTTGGCTGGTTCTTCAAGAAGACTCTAATCTGAATTGATGCTTGCTAGCTGCAAGTGCTAGTTCACTCTTCTACGGCTTTTCTGATCAAAACGGAACATGCAATGCTCGTGACTTTAGTCATGCCTTGAGAAGTCCACATTTTTTCATCTGCTTCTGCATTTTGGATTCACTTCTTTTCTTTTCTTTTTTTTTTCATTCTGGATTAAGACTTCTTCTTTTGGTCATCTCGAACCCTGTGCCTCGAGGTATAACCTACTCTGGCACCAAAACAAAGAAACGAACGAAATGTTTTTGCCCCAGTTTTCACTAGGAAAATATTCATGAGTTATTTGTAACAAAAACTCTATACTACTTCATTACTGAAAGCAATAAAGTCGGGATTGGTGTACCCCCGAGACCATGATGTTGGAAAAGCAACTAGTGAGTGGAGACCCTATGTCTAAAATAAGATCAACTAGGGAGTGGAGACCCTATGTCTAAAATAAGATCAACTAGGGAGTGGAGACCCTATGTTGGAAAAGCGACTAGGGAATGGAGACCCTATGTCTAAAATAAAATCAACTAGGGAGTGGAGACCCTATGTTGGAAAAGTGACTAGGGAGTGGAGACTCTCTGTCTAAAATAAAATCAACTAGGGAGTGGAGACCCAATGTTGGAAAAGCGACTAGGGAGTGGAGACCCTATGTCTAACATAACTACAACTAGGGAGTGGAGACCCTATGTTGGAAAATAAGACTAGGGAGTGGAGACCCTATGTCTAAAATAAAAATCAGCTAGGGAGTGGAGACCCTATGTTGGAAAAGAGACTAGGGACTGGAGACCCTATGTCTGAAATAAACATCAACTAGGGAGTGGAGACACTATATTGGAAAAGAGACAAGGGAGTGGACACCCTATGTGTTAGAGACTGTGCGTCCACCAGACTGTATAGAGAACCGGGTTCTCTATGTGTTTCCTCTGAAAGTACTGATGAACCAAACTGTATGCGATCTGGTCCTGTATCAGTTTGGTATAGTGTTAAGTTTTTTTGAGACCACCGATTAGTAGAGTACCTGGTCCTTTATGGGGTTCTGCTGTAAATGCTAGTAAAGCTGTATGTAAATAAGGCCGAGGATTTTTACGTGGAAAAATCCCATACAAGGGGATCAAAAAACCACGACCTACACCTGTAGGCTTTTAACTTCACCAACTTGCAATCTCCCTACTACAAGCCACTTTACAATGATCCTATTGCAAAGACTTCAACTAACTTGTGATGCTCTCATCACAAGCCACTCTATAACTATCCTAGTTACAAAGAATTTGACTAACTTGTGGTATTTCAACCACAAGCCACTTTGTCACACTATGGTTACAAAGGCTTTTGACTAACTTGTGATGTTTCTACCACAAGCCACTTTGTCACACTACGGTCACAAAGGCTTTTGCTTATGACTATCCCTAGTCACAGCATAAACTCAGAAGTTTACGAATTTTGGTTTGTTCCTAAGACAACGCTTCTAAGAAAGCAAACTAGGAATTACAATGAAGAACACATAACAAAGACTCAACAACCTAAGGACTTAAGATGTCTTCGATCTTGGATCAGGTCCTTGAGGTTGAAGCAGCTTTGTTCTTGAGAGAGGTTCTTGAACACTTGAGAGAATATTTTCCTTTTCTGATTTTGCAAGTGTTGAACCAGAATCTTGTCCCTTGCATGAGGTTTATACTACACAAGACATTACCTTAGTGATGTCAATTCACAATGGTGATGTCCAATCTAAATGGGAAGTGACTGTTGCACTGTCTGCAGAACTGTTACGTGTACAGTTGCAGGCAGTCACTTTCTGCAGTTGCTTTCCAACTGTACTGTTGACTTATACTTCTGTCAGGGGAACACTAAGATATCAGGTTCCTAATATGGTTCATGTGAACCTAAAGCACACTGCCCAGATTATCTTGAGTCGATTAACCTGGATGATTGTACCAGGCTAGCTTCAGGTCCTTTATCTGGTTCTCTCATGAAGTAAGTTGTTTTACCTTCCTTGATGGTATTTATACTTGTGTTACATCACTTAAAATGATGTAAGCAAGGTAGGTAAAAAGCCTTTCATAGAAAGTTGACTGCCGCACTATTCTTGTGCAGTAGCGTGTGCAGGTAGTAACTTTCATGCTGGAGAGTTGACTTCATACAGTCTCCTCGGGAACTGGTAGGGACCTGTTTCCTCAGTTGTTCCTTCCACTCTGAAGAGTTGAGTTATATCCTACGCTGGATCCCAATCTGGAGTTTTGTGATCTCAAGGTTTTGTAGATGTATAACAGGTTCCGTATCTGGTTTTGGATGGTAAGTTTATTAGATCATCAAAACATAAAGTAAAGTACCTATGCCCAAGGTACTTGTAACCTATCAATTTCCCCTTTTTGATGACGATAAACTTAGAATTGGTATTCCTCCTGAGAACCAGATCTCCACATTGTTCCCCCTACAAATCAGCCATATTCCTCATGAGAACCGAACCTAAGGAACTGATCACAACTGGTTCCTCAAGACTATTTGGCAAATCATCAAAACTCAAAGTACCATAGCTTATCAATTTCCTCCTTTTTGATGAATGACAAACCCAGAATTATTTCCCCTGAGAATCAGGTTCCTTATCTGCACTGATCACATCCGGTTCGTACCCAGTATGTTGAGAACGTTTGTCATCATCAAAACATGACATAGAGTAACTTAGATCAGTTTCTCCCTTTTTGATGATGACAAACCTAAAATTATTATTCCTCTTGAGAACCATATTCCTCACATGCTTCCCTATAGATCAGACCTATAATCAACTTGTTTTCAGCACGTTCCCCTGCGAGGCAGAGCCATCAGCAACACGTTCCCCCTGCGAAGCAGATCCATCTGTCATGCACAACACACATATCAATTCGATTCTGTTCCTCCCCCATGTGAACACCTATATTACTTCCCCCTTTTGGCATCATCGAAAAGAATAACAGAAGAAGTACCACCAAAAAGAAGTTCAGTAACATTAACTCAGGCCACTTGGGCAATACAGCATAAACAATAACAAGAACAACTAGTGAATGTCAGTGCCCAAAATAGAGTGATTGCCCATAGTTGAGTAATTATGATAAAAACACAGTAGCTTCAACAATATATAATATGACAATTTAAACAACTGAAGTACCAATGTCATCAAATATAGGGATCAAAAGAAGGTAAGAATTCAAAGGAATTGGGAAAGAGTGAAGGACATGGATCACTGGGTAGGAAGAAAAGTAAGAGGCTAAGGCTTTGATGAGCTTGTCCATTCGTTCATTTACTCCCCTTTGATCAATGATCATCTGCTCTCTCAGTTCCTCCACCTGTTTCCTCAATCTTTCGTTTTCACCCTTCAACTTAGCATTATTCTATTCTGCCAAGGGTCCTCGAGGACCAGGTTCTCAACCTATCTGAGTAGGTTGAATCATCAATCAGATCACCAAGAATCTCCACAAGTTTCGTCTCATCAAGAACAGACTCAGTACCATGCACATATAGCATCATAGTATCACGTAAAACATAGAAGTTTTTACTTTTTCTTTAGAAACATTGGGACTTGGAGGAACAAAGAGGTGATTCTATCTTTGGAACTCAACAATGTTGAGAAGTTCCTCCTTTTTTCAGCAATATTAGAGTCAACACTCTGCCTTACAGCACCTTTTCAGACTTTAACGTCTTCTCCCTCCAAACCTAATGGCTTAATCTTTTGCTTCTGTAAGGAACCAGGTTCCTCACTTACACTACCCTTTCTATCCCTGAGCAACCATGTCTCCCTCTTCTTCTTCTCAATCTGTTTACCCTTATCATCTGCTGCATCTTTCTCAGCCAACTTTCCTTGTTTTTTTTAAATTCTTTCTTACAGGAAAAGATTTCATTTCATTCTCTAATCACATCAGCAGCTCACACCACTTCACCATCAATCAGCCTACTTTTCATCAATCTTTTTTACTGATCGATAGTTCGTTTATACACAGAATTCAAGGAGAAAAAGATCATCATTAAAATTAACTTCATGAGAAGGACTTGAGGGATCGGGTCCCTCATTCAGTCCTCATATTCACCAATTTCTCCATTCTTCAACATTTCTATGAATCCAATCACAACTTCAGCCTCACGCTCTAGAATATTAGATCTACCCTGTTCCCTTTCAGTTACACTTCCATCAAAATCTACCAAAGACTTCTTGGGGTTATGATTTTGATGGAGTTAGTTTTTTTTAGAAAGTGAGAGAGTTGGGTTTAGCTCTGGCATATTTGGAAAGAAGGATTACTTTGAGACAAGGTTGATTCTGGTTTTAAAGAAAAGACTCGGTCTTATCTGGGTGTAAGATAGAGAAGTTCCCTTTTTGTGGCAACGGGTCAGTTTAGAAAAGGTTTAACATTTTGGACTTCAAAAGTTAGGAGGAGAGGCAGGAGAAAGGCAGAAACAAATTGATGACATGACACTTCAGCAGCTTAAAAAGGCATATAAGTATTGAAGAGACTACTAACCTGAGTCACGGGAACCAGGTTCCGTGACTGTTTTTGAAAATTTTGAGCAGGGACTCCTAGAAGTGCAATGTCACTCTTACTTGTTTTTGTCCTGAGACTGCCATATGTGTATACCTGTAACAGTATAGATTTGAGTTAGCTGTTGCCGAAAAATACTTTTTAGCATTGTACATTTCCTTCTTAACATAGCCAATCATCGAGGGACCAGGTTCCTCTGTGCCATTTTGGAGATTCTAATGCTTCTCCTTCATCCTTCTGCTTGACTGGACTCATCAAATCAGTCTTTCCATTGGCTATATCTATAGCTTTACCAGGAGCATTTGTGAATTCTCCATCTTCATCTGCTTGGTTTTGTGACCCTTTTTCCATCATTGTTGAGGACAAAACATTTGCATCCAAAGGCTCTCGGGTAGGTCAACTTGGCTTTTCTCCCATTGAGCAGTTCATAGAGAGACTTCTTGAGGAGGGACCTGATCATGCATTTGTTAATCAAGTAGCAAACAGTGTTGACTGCTTTAGCCTATGAACCAGGTCCTCCATAACCAACTTGTTCAACAAGTAGAAACTCACATGCCTAGTCATCTTCACCATAATTCAGCATCATCATTCATTAAGGACACTTAGGCATGTTAGATCACAACCATGTCGTGACTTAAAATCAGCAGTGTAGATATTCTTGTATCTTTTGGCTACAAGCACCACCTCACTAGTCACAAGATTTGTGACTGTGCATATCTTGGACAAGAATTCCACTTTATTTTACACATTGTGTCCTTTTGTTGCAGCCTTGTAGGCTTTGTTTTAAGAGGAATATTCCAGAAAGATTCCTTCATCACTCTTGGCATCAAATTTACCAGGCTGATCCTTTCCATTGTAGAGAACATAGCATTTGTACCCAAATATTCTTAGGTGAGTTAGCTTGGGTTTCCTTCCAGTCAGCAACTCATAGGGGGTTTTGTTCGGGAGAGGTTTGATCATGCGCCTCTCTTCACTCATGCTCAGTATTCCCATAGGAATTGCATGCTCCGTGTTCTTTGAACTTTGAATTTGATAGACCATGGACCAGGTCCTTGTTCATCAATATCTCCAGAAGTGGGAAAACTTGTATCCCCCCAATCCTTTATGCCAAGTCTTCGAATCATTATCAACTGCATTCAAGCAGCTCATATCTCCAGCTTAGACACAAACTTCTATCTTGTTTTTCTTCCCCATACCTAGAATGTACCCCTTCTTTCCATTTTCCAAATGGTACATCCCTTCCTTGCAGGGCTTTCATTGAGAGAAAATCCATGGAATTTCCAGTCATGTGCTTTGAGCATCTACTGTCCATGATCCATTACAATCCGCTTCCTTCCACTGTTCCCTGCACATCTAAATTATGGGTTAGATTTAGGAACCCAAACTAGTTTGGGTCCCTTGTTATGATAGAAGGGATGGATAAGGGCTTTTCTAGTCCATGCAGGCAGCATTGGTTTCTTGCGAGCGGTACCTGGTCCCCTGTTAGTAGTCACTTTGTCAGTAAGCACTTTGTTTTTCTGATCAGATTGAGCCCTGGCCTGACAATTTTCTTTGAAGTGCCCATTGTTCCCACAGTGGGTACACAGCCAGTTATCAGGAACTGTGACGTACTTGCTGTGAGGGTTGTAAGGAGTTTTCTCCTTTTGGAACCCGATTCCCAGCCTGTTTCCACTATTTTTGAAGTACATGGCAGTGACAGCATCTGAGGACCAGGTCCGCTTGAGAGATTTCTCAAGGTCACTTTTTACTCTCTTCAATTCAGCTTGAAGCTGCTTATTTTTCTCGAGTTCACCACATATCCTAGTTCTAGAAGCTTTCAACTCATTTTCAAGCCTAATGTGTTCCTTACTGGCTATCTCCTTTCCTTTTCCAGTTTTTCAGGTTTTAACTTAGTCCAAGGTTTTACTTTCCCTTAGGTCTGTAATTTCTGCCAAAAGATCATTCTTTTCTTTTATGAAATTTTTAATGGTTTTCTTATGGTCAGTAACTACAGCCACTAAGTCGACTCTAGTTTGTTCAGATTCTGCTAACTCTAGTCCCTATCCTCCACAAAACTGTGAAAGGAATTGATTAATACGTTAGCTAAAGACATGAGTTTTCTTGGAGAATAGGATTTCAGATTTCTCTAAACATCCCTGAAATTTACCTCTTTGTTGTCTTCGTCTTCATCATCATCTGGTTGTGCCATCAACGCAAAGGTTGAGTCATATCAGCTGGTCTTTTTCTCTTGAAGTTCTTGGAGAATTCTTGCTTCAAGAGAGGACAATTTTTCATGAGGTGTCCAGCCTTTCCGCACTTGTAACAAAGATCATTGTTTTTTAATCTGTTAGAGCTGTCCCTTTCTAGCACATCTCCATCTCTTCTGACCATCTTCAGAAACCTTTTGATTAAGTAAGCCATGTAACTGTCTATACATGCTAAAGGAACAAAGCCCACGCGAAAGTTATCAAATTAAATCAAAATTCCCGAAATTGGCCAAACTCGACCCCCGGGCCCACCTCTCGGAACCCGATAAAAATCACAACACTAGAATCCTTATCCTCTCACGAGTCCATACATACCAAATTTACCAAAATCTAACTTCGTTTGACCCCTTAATCACCCAATTTTAACTCTCAAGTTCCAAGCCCTAATTCCCCTTTTTTACCCTTAAGTCCCACAAATTCCAAGCTTAATCTACTAAAAATCACCATAGAATCGAGTATTAAGTTCAAGAATCTTACCTCAACAAGTTTCCCCTTGATTCCCTCTTCAAAACCCTCCAAAAGCTTCAATCCCGACTTCAAAATGGTGGAATGGGCCAAATTTTGCGGAGGGGAACTTATATACTTTCTGCCCTAGGGATTCCGCACATGTGGTCAAATCAACCGCATTTGCGGTTTTCACTTAATTCCCAGGACCGCATCTGCACCCAGGCACAGCACCTGCGATCCTGTAGATGCGGCCAACACACTGCACCTGCGGTTCTTCTCCTGATGGCCAAACCCCACATCTGCGGTCTACATATCGCATCTGCGACCTCGCACCTGCGGCCCCCAATCCGCAGGTGCGGAATGACAGAAGCAGCAAAAATCACAAGCATCAAGTAAATGCCAATCCTTCCGTCAACCACCCAAATTCATCCGAGGCCCTCGGGACCTCAACCAAACATACCAACAAGTCACATATCATCATTCAAACTTATACCAACCTTCGGAACACTCAAAACAACATCGAAACACCAAATCACCCTCGGATTCAAGCCTAAGGATTTCCAAACTTCTGAATTCCATAAACGATGCCAAAACCTATCAAACCTCATCCGAATGACCCAAAATTTTGCACACACGTCGCAAATGATACTACGGACCTTCTCCAATTTTCGGAATTCCATTCCGACCCCGATATCAAGATTTCCACTGCCGACCGTAAAATGCCAAATTTCCAATTTTGCCAATTCAAGCATAAATCTACCACGGACCTCCAAATTATATTCCAAACACGCTCCTAAGTCCAAAATCACCTAACGGAGCTATCCGAACCATCAGACTTCTCATCCGAGATCTTCTACACATAAGTCAACTTCCGGTTGACTTTTCCAACTTAAGTTTCCAAATAGAGACTCAGTATAAAAGAAGAGTGAAAATAGTATTTTTATAAAACAAGCCCCCCGGGCAAAGTATCACTCATATATAGCCCCTCGGGCAAGCCTCTCCGTCACTCGTGGCTCAACTTTCATCAATCAGCACTCAAACTCAGCACTCACGCTCAATAGGTATCTTATATTAACCGTTGTGGCATGCAGCCCGATCCATAAATATATAGTTGGCTGCGCTCACTGGGGGTGTGCAGACTCCGGAGGGGCTCCTACAGCCCAAGCGCTATATCGCTGCCGCGTGCAGCCCGATCCAACATATCGGTGCGGCGTGCAAATCGATCTAATGTATAATATTGAATTTCCATATATTACAATATATAATTTTATGTATATTATTAGGTATACTATACTATATATAA